TATGTATACAAAACATAATATAAAATATTGACCCGTTCATTACTGGTACATGTTTTATAAATAGTATCCGGAGAACTTTCTTATGTATACAAAACATAATATAAAATATTGACCCGTTCATTACTGGTACATGTTTTATAAATAGTATCCGGAGAACTTTCTTATGTATATAAAACATAATATAAAATATTTACCCGTTCATTACTGGTATATGTTTTACAAATAGTATCCGGATAACTTTTTCTTACGTATATATAAAAACAAACTAATGCCTATATACATGAAAGCAGCAGAACAATAAACAGTTTAAAAACTAGAATTTTATTTGTATCATTTGTTGTACTTAAAAACTTTACCGCATGCTAATAAATGATAACTTTTTCCGGATAATTTGTCTCAGATATAGTTATTATTCTTTGAACTCATATATGTATTTTAGGTTTGTGTCTTCATTTTTCATCATGTGGACGCAAGCAAAATGATTTCTATTTTACTGTAATTTTCGGCTTTAACGTCGCCAACACTAAAATAATAACATCACTGATTTCAGAATGTTGAGCGCGTTGCATTTATTGATCTCTGCTTGATGTTTCTTATTAGTAAAATACATCGTTGAGTAAGCAATGACATCTACACACTCTTGATCAATCATCAATTCATGTACTATCAAGTAACATTATAATATTGTTACACCGCGTGTTTATACGTTTGATAAACTGAAGTCACGCTGATATCAAGTAACATTACAATATTGTTACGTTGGGTTTTTATACCTTTAATAAACTGAAGTCACGCTGATGTCAAGTAACATTACAATATTGTTACACTGGGTGTTTATAGCTTTACTAAACCGAAGTCACGCTGATATCAAGTAACATTACAATATTGTTAAACTGGGTGTTTATAGCTTTACTAAACCGAAGTCACACTGATATCAAGTAACATTACAGTATTGTAACGTTAGGTTTTTATATCTTTAATAAACTGAAGTCACGCTGATATCAAGTAACATTACAGTATTGTTACGTTGGGTTTTTATACCTTTAATAAACTGAAGTCACGCTGATATCAAGTAACATTAGAATATTGTTACACTGAGTGTTTATACCTTTAATAAACTGAAGTCACGCTGATATCAAGTAACATTACAATATTGTTACGTTGAGTGTTTATACCTTTAATAAACTGAAGTCAAGTAACATTAGAGTAGTTACGTTGGTTTTTTTATACCTTTAATAAACTGAAGTCACGCCGCTATCAAGTAACATTACAGTATTGTTACGTTGAGTGTTTATACCTTTAATAAACTGAAGTCACGCTGATATCAAGTAACATTACAGTATTGTTCCGTTGGGTTTTTATACCTTTAATAAACTGAAGTCACGCTGATATCAAGTAACATTACAGTATTGTTACGTTGAGTGTTTATACCTTTAATAAACTGAAGTCAAGTAACATTAGAATATTGTTACACTGAGTGTTTATACCTTTAATAAACTGAAGTCACTTCTTCTCTTGTCCATAGACTAACGTTACTAGTTTTAAGAAAAACAGCCAACACCGCCAGATCGTTAGAAATATCACATCGTGAAGGAACTTGTTCTTTAAAGAGAAAATAATTTTCATCGCCACAGTGTTAGGAGAATAACACTTTGAAAAATCTTGTTTTTAAAAAGAAAACAACCCAAATTGATACAAAGTTAAATGTATCACAGGAGATTATTCAGGAGTGAACAAGCAATACCGTTATAGTTAGAAGGGCCACAACGAGAAGAAGTTTGCTTTCTATGGATACAGAGGTTGATTACGTAAAATCTAGACGGTTTTGGAACGCAACACGCTATGTAGTGTATGTCGCCACGTCTGGCCATGTACTATCTGACTACCTGTGATTATAACAGTAGCCTTCCAGAGTAATTTGCATAGAAAAAAGGTTCCGTCGTAAAGCTTTCATGTCCAAAGCACATCACATCTCCTTGCAAGCTCTCCATAATCCATCTAGTGTAAAAGAGTGACAGTTTTCCATCAACCCTTCACCAGTCTTGTCGCAAAGCAATCAATAAGTCCTGTGTCCGGCAACTTTACCGATATACCTTCGTATGAAATAGCATGAATACCCTTTTCGTTCTTTAGCTGCTCGAGGTATGTAACGGTTGAGCAGATATGTCGTGAAAGCAGCGTGTGTACATGACTTATGTAGAGTGTATAGACAAGGATTCTTCCCTTTTATGTTGTATACTGTTGCCTGGGCACGTGGACTTTTTCACTAGCCTTTGAGTTCATAGATTCTCATCTATTACAAGACGCCACAGTTTAATTAGCAACGCTGAAATACGATTTCTTGTAGGTCTGTTACTGGATGGCCATTAGTTATAAAGGGATATC